TAGGTAAAAATGTAGAGCCTGACTTATAAGTGAACCTAGGTAAAAATGTAGAGCCTGACTTATAAGTGAGCCTAGGTAAAAATGTAGAGCCCAACTTATAAGTGAACCTAGGTAAAAATGTAGAGCCAGACTTATAAGTGAACCTAGGTTAAAATGTAGATCCCGACTTATAAGTGAACCTAGGTAAAAATGTAGAGCCCGACTTATAAGTGAGCCTAGGTAAAAATGTAGAGCCAGACTTATAAGTGAGCCTAGGTAAAAATGTAGAGCCCAACTTATAAGTGAACCTAGGTAAAAATGTAGAGCCCGACTTATAAGTGAACCTAGGTAAAAATGTAGAGCCCCGACTTATAAGTGAGCCTGTCTTATATACGAGTAAATATGACATAAAGCATCGCAAATTAAAAATGAGACATGTTTAAAGCTAGCAGGACGGCTTTTAAATGCTACAGAAGCGGAAATATTTATGGATTATTTACATCATTTACAAATTTATTGGACATCAATATATCTATTATCCAGTCATTTGTTTCGAATAAAAAATAGAAATACATAAGTAAATATATATATAATTTTTTCTTTTGTTTAAAAACAGAGTGTGCATCTATAAAAAGTTGTGAATAAACATTGCAACATTTGCTGCTCGAAGTAAAAATATATTTATAACAGATGCAAAAAAAAATCTGTAATATTTTCCTTTCAATGACAGCATGTAATGCTACCATCATTTATTTTCCGGAATAAAAAACAAGAAAAAAAAAAGAATTTCAGATCTTCAAAATCCATGCAAACTAATTTTATAAGAATTCATATTAGATTCTTGCCAACTGCACAGGGTTAAAGGGACTCCACTGAAGTTTGTATTGACATTAACAGGACTAGATATATGTTTCCAAGATTAGTGTACGATTTAATGTTGGTCTGTACCAATTACTAATACTTATAACGAGCATTCTTGGACATAACACCTCATGTGACAGTTATAAGCCAATCAGGGATAATTATTCTAGCACATGACAGCAAACAGCCAATAATTGTTGAGTATTGTAGCACATGATTTCTCATGTGACCAAAATCAGTGTAAATTCTCATATTATTGACTGGTTCCCTTTTTCCAGAATAAAATCATTCTTATTGTACAAAATGACCCCAATATGGAGTGTTTAAATGCTATCACGATATCTATCTATGAATTGCACACACAAAATTGATCTAAACTTCAATTCTTAGGACACTGCTTATCACTTTTTTCATATTTTCTTTCTGTGTCATATTTTTACAAATTGTATAATCTTTAACTTTTGGACCTCAGTGGAGTTCCTTTAACCATGCAATGAAAAGAAAAAAAAAAGAAATCCCAGCAAAAAAAACCTATCCAGGATCAATACGAAAAAACAATTGTAAAATCTATCTGATAAAGTGGGTCAAACAGAAATGTTAATTTAGAATAACAAAAAATATAACTTATTTTTCTAATTAAAAATAAACTTAAAGTGTTAGAAAAATATATCTTAATTTTGTAAAATAAATATTATTTACTAATACCACCTTACAGTACATTGAACGTTTCCATAGATACATGGATTGTAAAACAAGTTTTGTCAGATCTTAAAGAAAGATAAATATTTAAATAAATGCTTTAAATGCTTTATAGAAGTAATAAGTAACAATATGGTGCTAATTATTTAACAAGTGTTGATCATGTGAATACTGATGCAGAATATTCTTTTCCCCAAAACAAGACAGAGAATGTGAATACAGACTGGTTTTATAACTAGACTGGTCCCATTATTCATAATAAGATTGGTTCCATTATCCATAATTTGACTGGTTAAATTATTCATAGTTAGACTGGTTTCATTATGCATAATCAGACTGTTTCCATTATTCATAATTAGACAGTTTCCATTATTCATAATTAGACTGGTTCCATTGTTTATTACTAGACTGGTCTCACTATTCAAAATTAGACTGGTTCCATTACACATAAACAGACTGATTCCTTTTAACTTAACTTGAATGGTTACTTTTTGTTAACTGAACAGGTACCATACCTAGACTGCTTACATTATAACAAGACTGGTTAACAAGACTGGTTGCATTTTCTCATGCAAATTTGGATTCACAATTCAAACTCGACTTGTATGTCGATAAAATCATTCTTGTTGATTATTCTAAACCAGTCAGGTTCCATTACATAATACCTGACTGGTTTAATTTTTAAAGCTAGACTGGTTACATTTAGTATCAGTTATTCAGACCTTGACTGGTTGCATAAATTTTGTAACAAAGCATTTTATTAACCTTTATAACCCCTGCTCTCCAGATTTTGTCCAGCATGAATTTTGGAACCATCAATTACTATTGCCACAGAAGTGCAGAATTTGGTTAAACCTCCATGATACGCTACACAATATTAGGGGCCCCATATAAAAACCAAAAATTCAAAATGCATGATAGATTCAAAACAAAGGTTTTGTTATTGAAAAGAGGGTTGGTGGTTATCAAGTTAACCAGTCTGTAAACACATTTAAAAGTTTTAGTAAAGAAATCACTGATATGTCACGACAGCAAAGAAAAAAAAAAATAAACCAAAAATAATATTTCCCAAAATGGCTACAATAAAACAATGGGATATTTTTCTACAGATGGGTTTTATTTGGTGGAGAAATTTAAACAAGTGGGTTTGTAGACATGAAATAAATTGCACATTAGAAAAAAAACAAACTAAAAGACCCTATAACACCCAGAAATACTTAACTCCCTTACCATGCTCAAAAAGTCCCCCCCCCCCCTGCCCTTTTGAATAGGGACATGTCTATTATCAATAAAGAAAGAAAAGACTTTGATATTAAAATGCAAAATTTAGACTGTAACAAACAGCAAATATATATAGCATGGTCCGACTGCATATGCTTTCATGCCAGCCTGAATTTAAACAAATTGCATCTTAAATCTTCAGCCTCCAGGAGGTGACAGTAAATGCCTATGTTATCAGTGCTGACCAAGATTAGCTGGCACCTTTGTGCACTATTTGCTACTTAGTCAGAACATAATTATTTTTTGAAAATTTTCCCTTCAAATGAAAAATGGTCTTGTCCTGAGTGGAAGATGGACAAGTCAATTTTAGATATTTAGCATGGCAAAGGGTTAAGAATCAAAACGTCTCATCTTAAATGCAACAAAGATTTTATCTTAAAATTTTGACCGCAATGTTTGTAACCTTGAAAAGCGAACATTATTTACAATTTTGGTAAAATAAAAGATGTCATGTTAAAAAAAATATGTTGTAACCAAAATGGTTCATTATGAGTTAAGCAAAGCTTAAAATTGTTCCCTAGAAAAAATAATCCCATAAAATCAAACTAAACAATGTTTGTAAAAGTTTAACAATCAATATCATTAAATTACAAGAAATAATTCAGTAGATGTTTAACATAATGTTGCAAGAAAAAGGAAAAAAATCAAAAAAAATCATAGAAACTATGGAAACATACCCCAAAAATTAATACATTTCAAATTATCCAAGACTTTGTTCCCCGAAAAAAAAGTTACTTTTTACAATTTTACAATATAATTATGTTAAAGAACTGTAAAAATTTAAGTCACAATATAAGGTAAATAATAACTGTCATGGCACTGAATATGTGTAGTTATGGCAACAAAAATAACAAAATAATATATATAATATAAATAGTGTTATTCTTAAGATAAATTGCGATTCAATAACAAATTTATTCACTTTGACAAAAAATGCACCAATATAATTTTTAATACTTAAAATCTAGACAAAAAATATGATCATGGCACTTCGACTTTTGTAAAGCTCAAATATCTATCACAAAACAAGGGGGGTAATCACTAACAGCAGTGAAAAAAACAAAAAACTCTCTACAACTTCTAAAAATAGATATTTCTTAAATGGCACAGTCTAAAATAATTCCAGTTCAAAATGTCTGGACCAGTCTGAATCATTTTCTCATTAAAAGAAAAGATGAGGTTTTGTCATATATTATTTGAACTACTTTAAATTCAGCTTTTTAATGTAGGATAATGAATTTCAACTTTGATTAAAATCGGACAGTTTGAAAAATAATAAATACTTTATGCATATTTTAGAATAAGTTATAGTTTTCTTTAAAAAAAGAAAGTTGTATTTGATTTATTCCCTATCTGCTATAAATCAGAAAAATGCCAGACTGGTAAATATTTAAGTTACAGCAAAAAAATGACATGCATGTATGATGTATGAATACTTCAAGTGTTGGAAGTCTCAAAAAATGATGCGAGTTTTTTACAAAAAAGAAAAGAAAAGGACAATCGAGTTACTTTGTGAAACAACCCCCTGACCCCATGCTGCCTTCTAATCCACTAGATGTACATTATGTAGGAGTGGATACATCGTCAAAAAAAAGCCAGGAGTTTATATATAATATATATATATATATAATAATGTAACACACTTATAGATTCAATATGTTCAATAAATACAACATTTCTTAGAAACAGCAGCAAGTAATTAATGCACATGTGTTAAACACATATACGTACATTGTACATTACAGTATCTAATATAATATCCAAAGCGATATGAATTCTATATTTTCCGTCGAGATTATAATGGTTAGCCATCTAGCCGTCTTTTGCCTTTTCTGTACCGAAATCGCGTCTCTTTTCTTCCGAGGACTAGTTCCTTTTGTCAATGTTTACATTCTATTTATTCCACACTCACGCAAACACACCTGTAACTTTTGATTAACATTCCACTGTTACTCATAAATGGCATTTTATGATTTGAATTTTCATCACATTGTTCAATTTTGTTCCCATTTCAATCACATTCTCCTTGTTCACTTTTGTTGATTTCACAATCTTGGGGTTCATTTTGCATCTTTTGTGTTGGATTCGCTTTTATTGACTTCTAGCATTATTTTGGTTCATTTTTGGATCTTTGGCAACTTATGTTTGGTTACTTAATCTAGGAGAAATAGGTAAGATTACACTTTGGTATTTCATTGTATATACTTGTTAACTTTTTTTAGTGCTTTTATAGACTTTAAATTGTAAAACACGAGATCTGTGTTTATATAATATTAAACTAATTATTTTGACTAGCTTTTCAGAATTTGATTTGATTTCTCTATTACTTCACTGGTCATCAATTTTTCCTGCACAAATACTGTCCAAAGAAAACTTTTGTAAATTTGACTTCAAGAAATTTCTCTTCAGTAAACTGATAAAAAAAAACCTGCCAGAATTTCCTTTAAAAAACACTTTGATGATCAACTTCCATATCAAACAGCACATTTTAAATATACACACTTTCATCCATTTTTGCACTCACAAAAAACTTTTTCCTATTCATCATTCCATTGTATAAAAGTTCATTTTTTCTATCACCAACAGCAGTTATTCTCTAACCTATTTAAAAGCACATGTGGACAATTCTAACAAACTTTTATGACCTATTTTTTGTTCATAAAGCCTCATTCATAGTGCATTTTATAACCGTAGCCCCAAAAGCTTGTTCTTATCTAACAAATCTCCCTTTTTATCAAAGCAATATAAGCATAGTGTTTATTTTCCTTGTATGCCATTCACCAAATATTGCAAATTTCCCTAAAAATCTTTTAGTGCGCTTTAAATTTTATGTACACAATCTATAAGCACTGTTGCATGTTTTGTGAAATATTGTCGTTATTCTAATATTGCAGTTCACTGTCTTATCTGAATCTTCTTTCCCGCAATGGTTGTACGAAGTTTTACTTTATGTGGCTCGTTAGGTGGCAGTTGAACTCAACACGCCCATCGCAACATTTCTTACATATGACACATTTAAAAGGATCGGTATCGCTCGAATGAAATCCGTTATGCAAAAGGTATAGAGTACAGTCCTCGAATATGATATGACAGTGTTCGCACTTGTAGACTTCTCCTTTAGACAGCAGGAACGAGACCATTAACTGATCCTCCGAGAGTTCTTCCCCTTCCTCGTTATATAGCTGCTGGTACGTGCTTTGGTCCACAATCGCACTTGTGCTCAGTCGGCGCATCGGTCTTCGCTGTTTCCGCAGATTTGATGATGATATCATTCGCTTGTTAAGATTGCGACGACTTATAACTCCAGTATGCTGTTGGTCATCAGACTGAAAATCCTCCGTCGATCTAGACTCGGCAAAGCTCGAGTCTTCAGATGGGGTTTTCTGACATTGGTCGAATTTATTGGACCCATCGTTATCATTATCTTGGTCCTCATCAGCACTATTTTTAGCTTTTCCGTCAGACTGAGATAACGGTCCATCATTCATTGACATGGACGTATGCGAGTCGGACGAATACTTTCGGCTTCTTGTGGTAGTACTTACTGGTTCCACTTCCTCAATTTTAAGTTGGTCATTTGAATTGGACGGGGCTCGTTCAGGGCGGAGTATTGGCAAACGGGCCGGAGACAGCATGCCTTGGGCCGCATTGAAAGGCTGACCAAGTAGGTTCAAGTTTTCAGCACCGTTGGATGCTAATAGCATCGAGACAGCAGTATTTGGATCACTACCCTGTGACAGGGAACGCTGGATCAAAGCATGCGCAGTTGAAACAAAGGGTGGCAACTGAAAGTGCTCTGCAAGGGACGTAACTGGCGCAGACTTTGGTTGTCCAGCAAATAAGCTAAATGCCTTTTCTATGTCAGACATCTCTGACACCTCGGGTTTTATCATATCACCTTTGCCTTCAAGATCCGGTGGAAATCCAAAACCAAGTGGCATTGGTCCAGGAAAACCGAGGGACCCAGGATGTAAATTTTGCAGATTCAAATTGAAAGCCCCTGGATGGCACAACATATGTTTCTGCAATTCTTCCAGCGAATGGAAGCTAGCTCCACATACAAAACATTTTTGGAAGTTTTCCATCATGTCCCTATGGTGGCGCCTTTCATGCATTCGGAAACTTCCACACTGGGCAAATGTTTTCCCACAAATTGTGCATTCGTAAGGTTTTTCACCCGTGTGTACACGTTCATGGGCTCTCAAGGTGCCAATCTGCGTAAATGATTTTCCACAAGTTAGACAGATATGTGGTCTTTCACCAGAATGTATTTTTTTATGCATGGATAAGCTGGCTGGCGTCGAGAACATCTTTCCACATATGTGACAACTCAGCGTGTCATCTTTACCACGACTGTTCTCCTCTTTATTTCGTTTCGCGGGTGGAGATAAATCTGTTGCGTCTTCTGAATTCTGGGAATTCTGCGAATTAATAGTGTACAGGTGCGGAGCAAGCTGCAGGGCAGACTGAGACGTGATTGGCAACGGTAGCGAGACTTCCGGGAACAACCCCGGAAAACTGGTCACTGGCGAACTTGACGTAGCAGGTAATTGGGACAAACTGGCGGCAAACGACGAGATCTGGGAGTTAAGACTGCTGTGAGACATTGCACTGCTGTTCTGACCTGTGGTGATGCTCGGCGAGCTAGGGGTTAACGGTTCAGGTGTTGGTGGGGCACTTGTTACTACGGGAACTACACCGTCTTCAAATGCAGTTTGCACCTGGCGTGAATGCATGCGCTCGTGCTTTTTCCAGTTGCTAGCATCACTAAATGCCTTATTGCATACAGAACACACGTATGGTTTTTCTCCTGAAATGTTGAACAAAATATTATACTATGAAAAATTCTCATATATTTCTAGCCATTCTGAATTTTATGTGAGTTTTATGCGTCTGAAAGATAGTGTAGTACACATTCAAGGGACCACACCTTTTAAGTTTAGGAAGAGGTCACTCTTTATAAGCCAAGGTGTAGCGTGAACAGATAACTCTGCGAAAAATTAGTTTACCAAGAATGAGTGGTTTTTGTTAGCTTTTTTTCTTTAGAGTTCAGGCAAGTCTTTAGTTTATTAAATTAACAGTTTAGTAATTACAGTTAATGTTAAAGCAGGTTTTTTTTCTCACTTAACTTTAGGAAAATTATTGCTTAATTTGCTAATTTGGGAAGTAAAAAATTAAGGTATTAGATCATATTTATGGGAAAACTGCATGAATTAAAAAAAAAATTGTTTTGGGAAGAGACCTTTTATAGGCATAAGGTGAAAAATCACTGCATTGTTGGTTACATTGGGAAGTGGTTATTCTTTGATAAATCTATCAAGAAAAGGTGTCACTTTTATTTAAGTTTACTATGGAAATAAATCACTTTTTGTAAGTTTACATAGAAAGGGGAAAACTCAAAATTTTAGAACAAAAATAGATGAAGGCCCTTTAAATTTATGGAAAATAACACAATATTTTGTTAAAAGGGAAGCAAAACTTTAGTGTCATTAAATTTTTGGGATAAACTAAAAAGTAAATAGTCTTGAACTATCGAAAGAAAATGAAACCCTGGAAGGTAGCCACTCCGTGATTCTTTATGCAAAGATTAGACAATTCTTTGTTGTTTTATAGAGAAAAGTAAAGAAACCACAAAGTAACATTTCTCAATGTTGTTTTATAGAGAAAATAATTCACTAAGTAACATTTCTCAATCTAGTCAATACTGTAGAAAATTACTTTATTTACATTGTTTTCAATTTTAATCAATACTTTACTTCTGTAGAAAACAAAGTGTCACATGTAAACAACAGGCTGTGACAATGTTCAGTATGCTGTGTGAAGGTTTTTTCCCCTCCTAACAAACCAGCCAGTAATTGTATAAAGATAAATAAAGTACATAAGTGACTAAAACGAATGCGTATTGACTAATTTTTTTTATAGCGACAGCTTATACCATACCTTGCCATTTTAATTACAGTATAAAAATTATAGTTTCTCATTAAACTTCAATCAATGTTTGCTTGAATCTCTTGTTATTGTGAGGCTACAATAAAACCCATAGTAACAGCTGTATATAATACAATATACATGTATGATCATCAATTTTACTTTTCTTACTCTATAGTTAAATTTAACTAAACACATTTTAGAAGACCACAAGCTTATTGATTCTACACTATACAAGCTACATATCTATGCTCTGGTCATTTTTTATTTCCGAAAACTCAATGTCTGAGATTAATGATTCAATTGTCACGGAAAATTTTTGCCTTGCCAAAGGATCAAACCAGCCACCCCAGGGTTACAAATCCAATGCCCTCCCTGTTGCACTAACAGGCTAACCTTAATTGGGGCAGTGGGGGGGGGGGGGGGGGATTCGTATAAAATTATTCATCATGAGAACAGCAACAGGGGAATCTAGTAAGACTGCATGGATGTGCAAGCTGGCCTTGCACTATAATGATGAACAAGACAAGTTCTAAGGTTCTATATCATTCACATTTAAATAAGAAAATATTTATCTGAACAAAAACAGAATAATGGAAATTTCAACTGACTTTCAGGTAGTACATTAGTTAAAGAATTCACATGCTGATAGACTGAATATCAGTTCTCAGGCAAGTATTACAATTTACTTTTTCAAAATTCCTTAAAACTAGTTAAAGTCTAAACTAATCTTTGGGATGGAATAGTAAAATGTGATTTGGACTTGTAGATATTGCTTTTTAGAAGCCTGAAATACTGGTAAAAAATTCAATTCTTTGACTGTGACTCCCAGTTGTACCATAAATACCTATGATTTCAAGTAGAACTGCAAGCATGTTCAAAAACAAAATTGGCAAAGTATAAAAAGAAGTATACGTACCTGTATGTAACCTCTCGTGTGCTTTTATATAACTGGCCTGTGCGAAAGTTTTACCACAAAATCGACAAGCAGGTCTTACATCACTATCTCTTTCTGTAGCTGTGTCCATTCCCTACAATACATAAATATATATATATATATATATATATATATATATATATATAATTAAAACACTAAATTTGACTCAGGATATAGACATCTGACATAAAATCTACACACAAACAACGACTGTAACATAATACTATACACAAATAATAAATCTGACAAAATATCTACACACAAACAATAAATTTGACATACATGTAACATCACTGTACACACAAACAATAGACATAAATCTAGCTTAATATTAACACAAATAAAAACATGAATCTGACATAGGATCTATACACAAACAACAAAATCTGACATATAATCTACATGCATACAATCAAGATACATAAATCTGACATAGGATCTACAAATAAACAACAAATCTGACATAAGATCAAAATACTATCAAGAGACATAAATTAGTCTGACATAGGATCTACACATATACAACAAATCTGACACGAAATCTAGATACAATCAAAAACACAAATGTGACATAAGTTCAAAATACAATCAAGAAACATAAACAAGTCTGACATAGGATCTACACATAAACAACAAATGTGACATAAGATCAAAATACAATCAAGAAACATAAATAAGTCAGACATAGGTTCTACACACAAAAGACAAATCTGACATAAGATCAAAATACAATCAAGAAACATAAATAAGTCAGACATAGGTTCTACACACAAACAACAAATCTGACATAAGATCAAAATACTTTCAAGAGACATAAATAAGTCTGACATAGGATCTACACACATACAAACACATGACATGAAATCTAGATACATCAAAATCATAAATATGACATAGGCTCTACACAAAAACAACAAATCTGACATAAGTTCAAAATACAATCAAGAAACATAAATGAGTCAGACATAGGTTCTACACACAAACAACAAATCTGACATGAGATCAAAATACTTTCAAGAGACATAAATAAGTTTGACATAGGATATATACACACATACAAAAAATCTGACATGAAATCTAGGTTCTACACACAAACAACAAATCTGACATATCAACTTCACACATTGCAAACAATAAATGTGACATATCATCTACACACAAACAATAAATCCCCCACAAGATCTACATACAAACAACGGACATAAATCTGACAGTAGATAAATTCACTAAATATAAGAAATGAATCAACTTCATTACACTTTTGATTTTATATAACAATGACATGTACATTTATTACACATTTTGCAGACATATTTTTATTTGGCAACAATTATACAAAAACTATGAATTTTAGGCAGCATGCCTCCATATTTATGCTAACATGTATTTTCATAAAAAAAATGTATTTAAAGTAAAATATTAAAATATTTTGAAGTGAATAAAGAAAGTAATTTACACATTACAAACAGCAAACAGATAATCTATTAAAATTACCATCAATAGGCCAGAATATGCAAAAAATAGCCTGTTCGGCCCTAGTCACACAGTAACAATATGGTGTAAAATCAGTCATTAATTGTAAATAATAACATGTAAACAAGAATTTGTAACAGAGTTACCAACGTCCCCCGCCTCAGGAAGTTTTATATGAAGCATAAAATTGTGCTATTTCAAAAGATTGAGGTATGGATCTCAGGACATTCAGTCCAAAATTATGATCAATGCTAGATCTGCAAATGCAACAATAAATTTGTTAAAAAAATAAAATGAAACACGGAATTTAAAAATCTATCATGTTAAGCTTTGACCTCTAAGTGTGACCTTGACCTTGGAGGTAGGGGAGCAGGTGTTGTGCATGACATAACGTCTTATTATTGAGACTATTTGTGCCAAGTATTTTCAAAATCCCTTGAACTATGAAGAAGTTATAGATTGGACACAAAATATACCCTATAACAGACTATGTAAATTTTTGACCTCTAAGTGTGACCTTGACCTTGGAGGTAGGGACACAGATGTTACGCATGACATATCATCTAATCATTGTGACTATTTGTGCCAAGTATTTTAAAATCCCTTAATCTATGAAGAAGTAATGGATGGGACACAAAATATACCAAATAACAGACTCTGTTTACCTTTGACCTCTAAGTGTGACCTTGATCTTGGAGGTAGGGGTGCAGGTGTTGTACTTGACATATTGTCTAACCCATTGCTTCATGAGCATTTTGTGAAAAATGGCTGTTTTCATTGAAAAGTCTCCCGTTACAAGTTCAAATTGCTATAATACTATAAAAACTGCTTCAACACTAATCAAACTTGGCACAAATGTTGACTGGACCATTGTCCTTGCAACAACATGCTCAGACTTAAATTTTCTGTTACCATGGCAACGAGGGGACATCTCAAAATTGCCAAAAATCACTATTTTGCGTTGATTTTTTCCATCAAAATTGATTTCAAAGTGCTGCAACTTATCAATGGATTGAGATAGAGTCAAATGCTTTTCAGCGTTGGTTACACGTTACCTTATGATCAATCTGGGGTCATTTACAGCCTCTCACAAGTCCAAAATTTTCTTGGCGATGAGGGGGACTCCGCCCCCCTTCAAACCCCCCAAAACAGAAGGGGGTACATCCCCCTTCTGGCAACCCCCTGATGTATCTTTTGGTTGGGGGGCCGCGCCGAAAAAGAGGTCATTTTTTTTAACAACATTTCTCAAACAAAAACAAGTGTTTGGGGCCTAAATAAGGCATTTTTTCATCATTTGAGACAACAAAAAAAGGGGGGGGGGTGAAAAGGGCGTTAAAAGGCGTGTATATGAAGTAATGGGTTAACTGAAAATGATGAAAATACTTGAAATTACCCTAAATCGCGTTTTTTCATGTTTAAACATGGCCTGTCATATAATTTTGAAGAAAAACTGTTGTTTTGTAGATTTTTTTTTTTTTTTTCATTAACCCATTACTTCATGAGCATTTTGTGAAAAATGGCTGTTTTCATTGAAAAGTCTCCCGTTACAAGTTCAAATTGCTATAATACTATAAAAACTGCTTCAACACTAATCAAACTTGGCACAAATGTTGACTGGACCATTGTCCTTGCAACAACATGCTCAGACTTAAATTTTCTGTTACCATGGCAACGAGGGGACATCTCAAAATTGCCAAAAATCACTATTTTGCGTTGATTTTTTCCATCAAAATTGATTTCAAAGTGCTGCAACTTATCAATGGATTGAGATAGAGTCAAATGCTTTTCAGCGTTGGTTACACGTTACCTTATGATCAATCTGGGGTCATTTACAGCCTCTCACAAGTCCAAAATTTTCTTGGCGATGAGGGGGACTCCGCCCCCCTTCAAACCCCCCAAAACAGAAGGGGGCACATCCCCCTTCTGGCAACCCCCTGATGTATCTTTTGGTTGGGGGGCCGCGCCGAAAAAGAGGTCATTTTTTTTAACAACATTTCTCAAACAAAAACAAGTGTTTGGGGCCTAAATAAGGCATTTTTTCATCATTTGAGACAACAAAAAAGGGGGGGGTGAAAAGGGCGTTAAAAGGCGTGTATATGAAGTAATGGGTTAACTGAAAATGATGAAAATACTTGAAATTACCCTAAATCGCGTTTTTTCATGTTTAAACATGGCCTGTCATATAAATTTGAAGAAAAATTGTTGTTTTGTAGATTTTTTTATTTTTTTCATTAACCCATTACTTCATGAGCATTTTGTGAAAAATGGCTGTTTTCATTGAAAAGTCTCCCTGTACAAGTTCAAATTGCTATAATACTATAAAAACTGCTTCAACACTAATCAAACTTGGCACAAATGTTGACTGGACCATTGCCCTTGCAACAACATGCTCAGGCTTAAATTTTCTGTAACCATGGCAACGAGGGGACATCTCAAAATTGCCAAAAATCACTATTTTGCGTTGATTTTTTCCATCAAAATTGATTTCAAAGTGCTGCAACTTCTCAATGGATTGAGATAGAGTCAAATGCTTTTCAGCGTTGGTTACACGTTACCTTATGATCAATCTGGGGTCATTTACAGCCTCTCACAAGTCCAAAATTTTCTTGGCGATGAGGGGGACTCCGCCCCCCTTCAAACCCCCCAAACAGAAGGGGGCACATCCCCCTTCTGGCAACCCCCTGATGTATCTTTTGGTTGGGGGGCCGCGCCGAAAAAGAGGTCATTTTTTTTAACTACATTTCTCAAACAAAAACAAGTGTTTGGGGCCTAAATAAGGCATTTTTTCATCATTTGAGACAACAAAAAAAGGGGGGGGGTGAAAAAGGCGTTAAAAGGCGTGTATATGAAGTAATGGGTTAACTGAAAATGATGAAAATACTTGAAATTACCCTAAATCGCGTTTTTTCATGTTTAAACATGGCCTGTCATATAAATTTGAAGAAAAATTGTTGTTTTGTAGATTTTTTTATTTTTTTCATTAACCCATTGCTTCATGAGCATTTTGTGAAAAATGGCCGTTTTCATTGAAAAGTCTCCCGTTACAAGTTCAAATTGCTATAATACTATAAAAACTGCTTCAACACTAATCAAACTTGGCACAAATGTTGACTGGACCATTGTCCTTGCAACAACATGCTCAGACTTAAATTTTCTGTTACCATGGCAACGAGGGGACATCTCAAAATTGCCAAAAATCACTATTTTGCGTTGATTTTTTCCATCAAAATTGATTTCAAAGTGCTGCAACTTATCAATGGATTGAGATAGAGTCAAATGCTTTTCAGCGTTGGTTACACGTTACCTTATGATCAATCTGGGGTCATTTACAGCCTCTCACAAGTCCAAAATTTTCTTGGCGATGAGGGGGACTCCGCCCCCCTTCAAACCCCCCAAAACAGAAGGGGGCACATCCCCCTTCTGGCAACCCCCTGATGTATCTTTTGGTTGGGGGGCCGCGCCGAAAAAGAGGTCATTTTTTTTAACAACATTTCTCAAACAAAAACAAGTGTTTGGGGCCTAAATAAGGCATTTTTTCATCATTTGAGACAACAAAAAAGGGGGGGGGGGTGAAAAGGGCGTTAAAAGGCGTGTATATGAAGTAATGGGCTAATTATTGTGACTATTTGTGCCAAGTTATTTCAAAATCCCTTGAACTATGAAGAAGTTATAGATTGGACACAAAATATACCCTATAACAGACTATGTAAGTATTTGACCTCTTAGTGTGACCTTGACCTTGGAGGTAGGTGACCAGTTTTTGCGCATGATACATTGTCTGATTATTGTGAACAATTATGGCAAGTATTTACAAAACTCCTTCATAGATAAGAAAGTTATGGACCGGACACGACATATACCCTCAAATAGACAATGTTGACCTTGAATGAGCAAGTGCGACCTTGACCCTGGAGGTAGGGGTCTGGTTGTTGCGCATGACACATCGTCTTATTATAATAAACATTTGTGCCAAGTTATTTCTAATTCCTTTCATAAATGACAAAGTTATGGACCGGACACGAAAGAGTGACGGACAGTCGGACAGACGTTCCAACATTTTGGCTTTAGGGGCTATTTTGTTTGTTTTCTTAAGGGCTACTAGCCCCTTAACCCTTTGATCACGGAATGAACCTATTGTTCTCTTTACTGTTATATAGCCCCTAAACCCAAAATGTTTGCTCGGACAGCAGGGCTGAAAATTAGCGGTCGCCCAGTCGCCCACGGCGACTTAATTTGCAATTGGGCCACCAAAAATTTCAAAATAGTCGTCCAGTCGGCGACTTAAAAAAAATCGGCCGTAGATTAAATTAATCAACTTGTGTGAAAAATCAAAGGAGCAAATTGGCTCCAAAATTATTAAATTGGCACAAGAAAATCACGATTAGCTCAAACTTCCACTTTTGGAATCTCCAGTCTAAATTTAGAATTTGCTATTTTAAGAACGGAAAAGTACACATTTGGTTTTCCATTTTCAATTTCCGCTTTACCGCTTCTTATCTCAAAACACAGCGACACAGTCTACTTCTTGTGGGTCATTGACTGGTTTATATTTTTACCTCCCCTTCTGTATTAAATATTGATATGAAAAGTAACACAGTCTAATACACTGACCCTCACCGTTTGTTTACATCAGCTGATAAATATGACACTAATTGTCGTGAACATACCTGGCAGTTTGTTGAATATGCATTGGAAATTGGGTCTTAATATTTAACATGAAACAATAAGTAGCGGCATCCCAAGATTACTCAAGATTATCGCTAATCTAATCTGAAGTTTGGGTATGAAATAGCGACAAATTATGCTCTGCAGTTGACAACTTGACCTGTTGACGGTAAGTTTGCATTCAGTAAATTTTATCGTTGTTGATAAACAGATCAAAAGAAAATATTGGTTTAGAGTAATGGTTGTTTTTTTTATGTTTTTTTTTATGTTTTCTTTTTTTTTCTTCGGGGGAGGGGGTTGATTGCCATTTTATTCTAACCTTTACAAGAAATTTATTTGACATTTGGATTTAAAGAGAATTCCTTGGAAAAAAAGATTGACCTTGATTTGACTTAAAATCAAATTTAAGTTTTGTAACCCCTAAAGCTCTTGCAGAAGTATTCATTTATAAATGGCTTATGACTGTGAAATATTAAAGAAAGATTCAGTTAAGTAACATACAAACAGAAAATGCCTTCAGATAACTTATACTGATTCATGTACTCTTAAAATGACAGTAGTACATGTGATTTTATTCCTTAATTATCTTTAGTTTAGAATTTTCAATATTATTTTCTTCACTCTTCTTACTTTCAAACTTGTTTCTTCTGTATTATTTCAGATACAGATAGTCTTCAAGCCAAATCTTTGTCATTAACCAAGCAAGCTGAAGCAGCACATTGAAATGTGTTTCTGCTGTTACTGTCATGCCACTGACTTAACCAGGCAAATGTCATAGCTACTGAGCTGGAAGCTTTTATAATTATGACTGTAAATTTTATAAGTTTAATGTGTTAATGTGATAAAAAATGTAGATACCAAAATAAAAGTGGACAATATAGTTTATGTTTTCTAAATACCTCATGCCATACCATTCTTCCTTATTTGAAAATAAAATACAGGCACGCAATTTTCGTTGCAAAAAAAATGGCTAAAAAATTTGCCAGTGCTAGTCCCTTTCTGTTCATAATTTGTTGGTCCACTAATATATTTACTGGGCCACCAAAATTTTACAGTAAGTGGCCCAGGTGGCCACCAAGCTTAAATGGTTAGTTTTTATCCCTGGGACAGACGGACGGACGGAGCCTATTTCTATATTCGAAAAGGTGGGGGACAATTATTTCTCAAATTGTGAATATTTTTACTTTTCTTAAAATTTAAGTACGTTTTTCTCAAGGCTGATTTTCTTGAAAATCTGAAGGCATGTAGCTTCAATAAAATGTTATGTGGCTTTAATAAAATGTTATGTAGCTTTAATAATTTAATGTTAACGGGTATAATAATTTTACCTGTAAGTTATCAGATGAGAGTTTCCTGGTCCCGGCAGGGGATGAACTATGTAAACCATTGGTTTTTAGGAATGACTGAAGCTGCTCAATCAGCCCCGGGTTGTCATGGATACCTGAAATACGTCAACGGTGAACTTTAATTGGTAAATGTAAAACAAGTGAATGTCAGTCATAGATGAATGACAGTTTTAAGTGATGCTCACCTATAAGCTTGATTCATTTGTTTAGTTTAAACACATCTATTAAAGCTTAATTGTGAAACAAGTTCTTGCATCTTAGACTAATCACTTTCGAGTCTGCTTTTTGAAACCAACCAGTACGGGTGTCATATGAAGAAACATGGTCGTGACACGAGTATGGCTTGAACATTTGTTCTCTGGGTAGAGAGACAGACATCTTAACCATTAGGCCACCACTCCCTTTGATTCACTTGTAAAATTTTGACATTTACCAAGGAGTGACCTTTTATCAGTTGAATGTCAGTCATGGGTATAGCTCAGTTATAATAGGTGAATCAGAGTTAACAGTCGAATGTCAGTCATGGGTATAACTCAGTTATAATAGGTGAATCAGAGTTAACAGTCGAATGTCAGTCATGGGTATAACTCAGTTATAATAGGTGAATCAGAGTTAACAGTTGAATGTCAGTCATGGGTATAACTCAGTTATAATAGGTGAATCAGAGTTAACAGTCGAATGTCAGTCATGGGTATAACTCAGTTATAATAGGTGAATCAGAGTTAACAGTTGAATGTCAGTCATGGGTATAACTCAGTTATAATAGGTGAATCAGAGTTAACAGTCGAATGTCAGTCATGGGTATAACTCAGTTATAATAGGTGAATCAGAGTTAACAGTCGAATGTCAGTCATGGGTATAACTCAGTTATAATAGGTGAATCAGAGTTAACAGTCGAATGTCAGTCATGGGTATAACTCAGTTATAATAGGTGAATCAGAGTTAACAGTCGAATGTCAGTCATGGGTATAACTCAGTTATAATAGGTGAATCAGAGTTAACAGTCGAATGTCAGTCATGGGTATAACTCAGTTATAATAGGTGAATCAGAGTTAACAGTCGAATGTCAGTCATGGGTATAACTCAGTTATAATAGGTGAATCAGAGTTAACAGTCGAATGTCAGTCATGGGTATAACTCAGTTATAATAGGTGAATCAGAGTTAACAGTCGAATGTCAGTCATGTACTCATTGGTGACTGTCAATTACATGAATGCCACTGGCGAGTGGCAACCAGATTCTTGCAGGAAATGCTTACAATTTAAATAGATTGGTTCCAGTAATGTCACCCATCTGTTTCCTTTATGTCAAACATTGGTTCACTTAATGTCACCCATCTGTTTCCTTGATTTGAAACATTGATGTCACTTTTATTTCTCAATTTTTTTTTATTTTTTTTTTTTTTTATATCCTGTTATAGTTTCAAAAAAAGATACTCACTGGCCAATTTCAAGAACCATCTTTTGCTTCTGTTGCGTTTTAGCAAGTAGTAAAAAGGCCCATTATGCCTTAAAATGCTATAATTTTTATTTCTCTTTTGAATTTTGTCACAGTTTCCAAAAAATACACATTTGCCATGTAAATAAACTCATTTGCCATATGAATAAACTATCTTAATCTTTTACTTATTATATTTCTAACTTAAGACTTAATGAAATCTCATCTAGACCACATAAACTCTGCCATGGCCAGAGGCGTGAAAAACTTTTCTCTGCCATGACTGGGTTTGGGGCATGTCTAACTTAACTCAGTCATGATTTTAGGGGCCTTGCAAACTAAATATAATGTACTGAAATAACGAAATCTTACCTAGACTAGATAAATTTTGTGCATAGGCCGCATATGCACTTGACATAACATCAGCATCATTCATTTCGGGCACACAAAATATTTGCTCCACCCATTTACACTGTCTGGTCTGTGCTGCATATCACAGTTACTGTAATCAAATGAAAAGACATCATATTTATAAAGATTTTTTTTTGGCTGATCTTATAACCGATATTCGTTCATATTCCCAACTGAAAATAGTACATATTATTGTCCGAATCAATCCACAGGAAAAAATTCCTCAACTGAAAATTACAAAATAAAAATATTAAATAAAAAATTCTATTTTTTTTTTAAAAATAAGGGTTTTTCCACTGTTAAAGTGTTTATATGTATGAAGATTCTATCCTAGACAGTGATTGTCTGCTTTCATTTAATCACTACAAAATATCAGTCATGTATTTTTTTCCCCAATTTTTAACAAAGCATCGCTGAAATTGCCAATTCCATGGGTATGGATCATGTTTCCAAAATTCTGGAAAAAAATTGTGTATTATAAACAACTGTCAGACTGACATTATATAAGTGCCATGCTACCTACCCAGTAGCCTACCCTCCCACTGAAAATGTATTCACTCTTTATTAATTTTTTTGCATTTTGAGGAAATGGTTTTTAGACAGTGGATATCCTGCTAAAATGGACTTAAACAAGATCACAATGTTACTTTCTTGTTTTATGTGTTACATTATTTGCATTTTTGACTGAGGTATAACTTACACTTAAGTTACAGTATTAAATAAGTGATAATAATGGAAATTGAAAATTGATTTGAATTTGCAATAATCTATTTTTATAGCTATATATATCAATTGATGGTATCTGTTGGGAGGATAAGTTTCTACTTATAAGTTATATATTTATAGATTTATGATATTATTTTATTCTTGTAGCTGAATTTAATATTTGTATCCATGTGTTTTAAATTATATAAATAAGTAAAAATTATTATAAGATAATATAAACATGTGCATGGCATCTATGTCGAATTTAAAATTGTAACTTATGATTGTTTGTTTGTTTGTTTAATTTTACGCCTTTTTCCAACAGTATTTCAGTCATATAGGCGGGTAGTTTCCTAACCATCGTTCCTGGAGAGTTACACCAGTGATAAAGCTCATAAAAAAATAAGCGACAAATTTCTCTGAAAACTACTGCAATGAAACTAAAGAGGCCTTATATTATGTTGCTGACAAAGAGTCTGAGAGTAAGGGAACAATAATTCACCGAAGTTCAAATTCATCTGAATGCACTACTATCTGATTATCCAGGTTTTGGTTTGGTACATCAAATGATCAAGGCACAGTCAAACAAGAGTGTCTGTGGTAATATTATCTACAATAAAGTTTATATTCAATTCAAAATTCAATAATTAAGATGGTTACAAGTTATAAATATATCTGAAATGGAACCAAAAAGTAAGGTATCTGAATTGTTGCAGTCCTAATAAGTCATAATTTCTTTTCTGACTCATAATTTAAATCCATTTCATGCACTGTTAAAATAATGACAGATCATTAGAATTCAGAAACAAGAATATGACATCCTGTTCATATAATATGCTGCTTTCAATTTGACAAACTGCCAAAAAGGGCATGTCCATATCATATGATTGTTAACTTTTCATAAGTTCCGGCACTAATTTGATTCATGAAATTTCTATTTCTTTAATGTCATACAGATCTTTCTTAAAAATGGAATTTGTTTATAAAGTTTTCCCTTTTATTATTAATCATAATAAATGGCATTACTATTTGGGTAGCCATGAAAACAATATTAAGACATGAATGTTACATCCAACAGCATAGAATATTAACTGAAGCACTTTGAATTATTCAAAATAATAAAAGACATGGTGATGGTCAATTTGAATTTATCATTTCAATTTTATGGATGCTGAAACTCAAATTATTTATTTTTTAAATTCTATTATAAATCGAACCGATAATAAACAATTTATAAGTTACATATACTTATAAATTCGAGAATGATTCTGCAATCTTTCTAATTTTAGAACTGCAGAATTTGACAGTCAAATCAGTTGCTAACAAAAACTCAGCAACCGGTCTATTGCTCGGGATGGTGTTTCAACTGTTTACAGGTAAGTACAAACAAAATCAACCATGCAAATTCGTGTCTTTAATACATTATCAACTGTTGCCCCATATAGATATTGTTTAACTACCGTATGACAGTAAAATATGGCTTTATTTTGCGGCCAACTTGTTTCTTTGTGCTTTTCACGTAATTCCCCAAATTGCCGATAGATGGCAGTTTACTTCCTGTAATTATAACCGGTGCTGATGTTAAAATATACTCACGTAGAATATCTCATTAAATCACAACCTATGTAATAGCACAAAATATTTTTTTATCATTATTAATTTAAAAAAACACAACATTTTAAAATAATAAATTTAAGCAAGTCACTTACTTTGATACATTATCCCCATCAATATTGAGCGGACCTTAATTGCATTAAATTAATGTAGGCCTACAGTCGGCTGCAGAAAATATTAACTCACAAGTTTACTGTTAACAGCTAGTGTTGTAATTTATTTATAGATATTTGTAAATCATAGTTATTGATTTACTTAAAATTCAAGACGCATTTCACAGGCTTGTTAATCAAGTTGTTTACACCTTAGAAAGTATAATTATGGTTAGAATGCATTTACTATTTATCAAACCAATTTATTGATGTTTGAAAATGCTGATAATTGCGAAAGAACTCCTTTTAAATGTAAAATAAACATCTTTTGAGTACATACAGAAAAGATATGTTACATTTTAAACTCTGTACAATATAGGTTAAAACACAGTATGCATTATCTACCCCCCCCCCCCCCCCCAAAAAAAAAAAAAAAAAAAAAAAAAAAAAACCTCGCAATTAAGGACCAAATTGACTTGACTAGTGATAGGGAATGTAGTATCCCAAACATAGTTTTGTACATTCTTTTATTTAAACTAGACAGATTCAGTGAAAATTTCCTAGATTTTTCAACAAATTTCCGCAATAAAAGTATTTTACTAAAAGATATAGCATTGTCTATATAGCTTTAAAAATAATAGATCTGTTAAATTTCACGAGAACAAGCCGCTCAAGATAAGTCCTAATTGTTAACAGCAATTCTGAGGCTGAGCATGAAATAAAGTTTAGAGAAGCTAAACTGAGACATGTATGTAAAGTATTACTACAATGGTAGGATAAGTTAGTATGTCATCGCGCACCTGCTGAATGCTTCTACTTGGACCATTTTTTCGTCGAGACTCGAAGGTAAAATACAATTTTATTATAATAAAACGCAAGAGTATTAAAAAATTATGTTGCGCACCAAAGAATATATTACTTGAGATAATTGTAAAAACAAGTTTATAGATTTATTGCCTGGTTTAGGCCTGAAAACGGGATAAGTGTTTTTCTCTGAATGCTCCCACTTAATTGGACTTTTCCTAAAACGTATAAGAAATAAGGCTGAAAACCTTCCTGAAAATTATTTTTAACGTACCGGAAAATAAACCGAGTCATGTTTACTTAATAGTTTTAAATATTTCTATTCGAAGTCAGTTTTTAATTTTTTTTTTTATAAAAATGGAAAATGCTCCCACTCGGACTCGATTTCAGAGATGCTCCCACTCGGACCCAAATATATACATTTTGAAAGCACATTGCTGTGTTAAGCTTTTATGGATTATTCTCACAATTTTTACACCATTTTGTCAATAACTTATGTGTTTGGCGACATTAACTTTTTCCTTCTTTTTACAGAGATCACTTCTTTGATTCTGAAGAATGTCGTCGTTGGGCAGAAACAAGGTGCCATGGCAAAGTTTCAACTAACAGGATCACTTTACAAAAAGGTGCACTTGGCTTGTGTTGGATTCAAAATTATTGCCTACAACAAAGCTAGGACTATAAGACTTTAAATGGACAGTTTGGATCTCAAGAATAAAGTTTGTAGAGATGTTAAAAAAATGGTGGTGTTTTATAAAGAAGTCATTATACATTGTTTAGTACCATACTGGATTAAGATTCTGTTGGACACGTACACATATTACAGGCCTGCATTTATTCAATAATCGCTGACTTTAATATCTTGTTGATAATTTAAAACCCAATGATTTGCGTGTTTGTTAAACTTGTGATTTAGATTTTAAAACAACATAATGGTACGTTCATGAACATAAAGAAGTCAATATCTATCGGTCGATTTGAATAGTTTATTAAAGAACAACATGTAAATCATTTTAGTCATGAACTGGTTAAAAAGTCAATGTACTGCCATACCATGGCACATAAAGCATGCTTCACAATTATTGACAACTTTGACAATTTTAAGTATGAAAGTTAACATATGTACGTATTTTTACCTAAAATAACAAAATAAAATAAATAAGAAAACAAAAATCACATGCAGTTATTTCTTTATCACAGTCTTTACCATATCTTGGTTACTTAAGATCCTGTAAGTTATATTTCATGCTGTTACCAATTGAAATTTTATATGTAATGTATATAAATATGCTACTAAAACAATTTTCAAACATTAAGGAATATGTAAAATACGTACTGCAAATGCTTGTCCACATTATTATGTAATCATTAAAATATACATGTATGCATTCATTTCTTATTGAAGAATTCAACTTACACTTAATAGAAAATACATTTCTAAATACACAATGTACCTCCCTTTATGAAATGTAAATTCGGTATTATCTTTATAAACAATGCTTTTTGGAACATACAATATTGATAAATCTTCATTTGAGCATTGAAATAATGATATGAAACCATAGAAAATTGATTTCATGATATTTGAATGACGTTAAAATAATAACAACCATACAAGAAGAAATCACAGACAGTAAAATCCCCAGCCGAAAATGAGGAAATACATTTCAAAGGCGAAGTAACCCTTACATACATGTAAAAATCTAAATAATGACACTCGTGAAAATTAATGAAAGTTATAGCCTAGACATAATAAATCATGACAAAAATAACACTCCCATAAAAAAAAACAAAGAAAAAACAACAAAGAAGCATTAAGTGAACACTTCTGGTCCTTATGCTCTGCTATTCACTTCTATTAAACATGTTCAATATAAAGTTTCAAGTTTATATCTCAAATACCTTTAGAGGTATGGTCCTTGCAAACTAATCATAGTGAATACAAAGAGCAATAACTCCAAAACTGGAGAGTTGTCATTCTTGTTTGCGGTATTTTACTTTATTGAAATCTATCCTCCAGTGAAGTTTCAGATAAATTGATCCTTTATGACACATTGTCCAAAAATTAACGCAAAAACTGAACAAAAGACAATTACTTCAAAGAGCTATTATTCTTGTGTTTTCTAGAGTATTCCTCCTCACTGAGATATATCCACAGTTGGTATCTAAAATATTTGCTCCAGCTATGCCGTGCCAAGATGTCCTGCCATGTGCTTCCTTACGTCGCAATGTGGTTTATACCTTTTCCCATACTGGTCACAAACACAAATACTTTCTGCAAAACAAAACGTTATTATATTTTTAAAATGTATAATCAATTTGTTTCTTTTTCAGCGACTATATTAAACGAGGAATTGTTTTAACACAACCTTTTTTCTTATTTTTAGGCCGATAACTGATCCTCTAAGAAGACATATTTACGAGACTGTTATGATAAAATATGCTAAATATTAGTATCGTATTTTAAAAATGCTGTTTCATTGAATTCTAACTGATTACATGTATATGAATATATGAACTTGAATATAAAGATATTTTGAAAAAATAATAATATCTTAACACAGCAATGTGCTTTCAAAATTTGTATATATCTAGGTCCGAGTGGGAGCATCTCTGAAATCGAGTCCGAGTGGGAGCATTTTCCATTTTTATAAAAAGAATTAAGAAAAAATGACTTCTGAATAGAAATATTTGAAACTTATCTAGAATAATAAACTAATATACTAAAAAGGCCTATCACCGTGGGTTTTGTCAGCTTGACTATTCCCCGAGTTTAGAACCCGGGCATGGATTTCCGTTAATAACTACTAATAACGCATATCACCGTGGGTTTGGTCAGCTTGACTGTATTCCCTAAGACTAAAATGGGCTTGGATTTCAGTTTATAACTATTAAAAAGGTCGAACACCGTGGGTTTGATCACCCTGACGGTATTCCCTTTGACTTGAAATAGGCATATACCTCCGTTCAGAAAACTACGAAAAAGCTAGCCTATCACCGTGGGTATTGCAGGTTTGACGATTTTCCCTGAGGCCAAGACCGGGAATGAATTTCCGTTAATAACTTATAAAAATGCCTGTCGCCGTGCGTTTTTTCAGCTTGTCTGTATTTCCCGACGCTGTAACCGGGCATGGATTTCTGTTAATAACTTCTTAACAGGCCTATCACCGTGGGTTTGCTAAGCTTGACTGTATTCCCTGATGCTAGAACCGGGCTATTCTTTACTGAAAAAGGCCTATCATCTTCGGTTTTGTCAGCTGTATTTCCTGAGGCTAGAACCGGACATGAATTTCCGTTAATAACTAATGAAATTGCCTGCCACCGTGTGTTTTTTCAGCTTGACTGTATTTCATGAGGCTAGAACCGGGCATATGCATTTCCTTTAATTACTACTAAAAAGGCATATCACCGTGGGTTTGTTTAGTTTGACTGTATTCCTCGAGGCCTTTAATAGTCAATGTGGTGAGTTTGCCTGTATTTCATTAGGTTAGAATCGGGCATGGATTTCCCTTAACAACTACTAAAATGTCTATCACTGTGGGTTTGGTCACCTTAACTTGATTACATTTGACTAGAAATTGGCATCGGTTTCCGTTCAGAACTACGAAAAATGCCTATTAGTGTAAGTTTTGTCAGCTTGACTTTATTCCCTGAGGCTAGAACCGGATTAAGTTTACTGTTGAAAGCTACAAAAAGGCCTATCACCGTCGGTTTGGTCACCTTGACTTTATTCCCCTAGGCTAGAACCGGGGATATATTTTCATTAAGAACTTCTAAAAGACCTATGGAGTTGCATAGCCTTTTGGTCTCCTTGACTGTATTCAAACTGTAAACAAAACGTTATTATATTTTTAAAATGTATAATCAATTTGTTTCTTTTTCAGCGACTATATTAAACGAGGAATTGTTTTAACACAACCTTTTTTTCTTATTTTTAGGCCGATAACTGATCCTCTAAGAAGACATATTTACGAGACTGTTATGATAAAATATGCTAAATATTAGTATCGTATTTTAAAAATGCTGTTTCATTGAATTCTAACTGATTACATGTATATGAATATATGAACTTGAATATAAAGATATTTTGAAAAAATAATAATATCTTAACACAGCAATGTGCTTTCAAAATTTGTATATATCTAGGTCCGAGTGGGAGCATCTCTGAAATCGAGTCCGAGTGGGAGCATTTTCCATTTTTATAAAAAGAATTAAGAAAAAATGACTTCTGAATAGAAATATTTGAAACTTATCTATAATAATAAACTAATATACTAAAAAGGCCTATCACCGTGGGTTTTGTCAGCTTGACTATTCCCCGAGGTTAGAACCCGGGCATGGATTTCCGTTAATAACTACTAATAACGCATATCACCGTGGGTTTGGTCAGCTTGACTGTATTCCCTAAGACTAAAATGGGCTTGGATTTCAGTTTATAACTATTAAAAAGGTCGAACACCGTGGGTTTGATCACCCTGACGGTATTCCCTTTGACTTGAAATAGGCATATACCTCCGTTCAGAAAACTACGAAAAAGCTAGCCTATCACCGTGGGTATTGCAGGTTTGACGATTTTCCCTGAGGCCAAGACCGGGCATGAATTTCCGTTAATAACTTATAAAAATGCCTGTCGCCGTGCGTTTTTTTCCAGCTTGTCTGTATTTCCCGACGCTGTAACCGGGCATGGATTTCTGTTAATAACTTCTTAACAGGCCTATCACCGTGGGTTTGCTAAGCTTGACTGTATTCCCTGATGCTAGAACCGGGCTATTTTTTACTGAAAAAGGCCTATCATCTTCGGTTTTGTCAGCTGTATTTCCTGAGGCTAGAACCGGACATGAATTTCCGTTAAATACTAATGAAATTGCCTGCCACCGTGTGTTTGTTCAGCTTGACTGTATTTCATGAGGCTAGAACCGGGCACATGCATTTCTGTTAATTACTACTAAAAAGGCATATCACCGTGGGTTTGTTTAGTTTGACTGTATTCCTCGAGGCCTTTAATAGTCAATGTGGTGAGTTTGCCTGTATTTCATAAGGTTAGAATCGGGCATGGATTTCCCTTAACAACTACTAAAATGTCTATCACTGTGGGTTTGGTCACCTTAACTTGATTACATTTGACTAGAAATTGCATGGGTTTCTGTTCAGAACTACGAAAAAGGCCTATTAGTGTAAGTTTTGTCAGCTTGACTGTGTTCCCTGAGGATAGAACTGGATTAAGTTTACTGTTGAAAGCTACAAAAAGACCTATCACCGTAACTTTGGTCACCTTGACTTTATTCCCCTACGCTAGAACCGGGGATATATTTTCATTAAGAACTTCTAAAAGGCCTATGGGGTTGCATAGCCTTTTGGTCTCCTTGACTGTATTCCATGACGCTAGAACTGGGCATGGATTTCCGTTAATAACTACTAAAAAGACATATCACCGTGGGTTTGCTCAGTTTTATTGAATTCAATGACGCTAGAACCGGACTTTTTTACTGTTATGAACTACTAAAAAGGCCTACCATTGTGGGTTTGGTCACCTTGACTGTATTCCTTTAAACTAGAAATAGGTGTGCATTTTCGTTCAGAACTACGAAAAAAGCCTATCATCGCGTGTATTATCTGCTTAAATTATTCCCTGAAGCTATAACCAGGCATTGATTTCCGTTAAGAGCTAAGAAAAAGGCTTATCACTGTGGGTTTGGTCAGCTTTACTATACTCCTTGAGCCTAGAAACGGGATGAATTTCTGTTAATCACTACAAAAGGGCCTTTCACGGTGGTATTTGTCAGCTTGACTGTATTCCCTGAGGCTAAAACCGGGTATAGATTTCTGTTAATAACTACTAAAAAGGCCTATCACTGTGGGTTTGCGCAGCTTGATTGAATTCAATGATGCTAGAACCGGATTTCTTTACTATTATGAACTACAAAATAGGCACATCACCGTGGGTTTGGTCAGCTTGACTGTATTCCCTTAGGCTAGATCCGGGCATGGATTTCCGTAAAAAAAACTACAAAAAAGCATTCTTTCACCTTTGACCAGCTTAATTGTATTCCCTGAGGCTAGAACCTGACGCTAGAGTCTATAGCCGAGAATGGATTTCCGTTAGTAACTACTTAAAAAACCTTTCACCTAAGGTTTCTTCAACTTGGCTGTATTCACTGAGGATAGAACCGGGCACGGATTTCTTTTAAAGGCCTATCACTGCGGGTTTGACTGTATTCCCTGAAGCTAAAACCGGGCTTGGTTTTCCGTTAATAACTACTAAATAGACCTGTCTGCCTGGGTTTGGTCAGCTTGACTGTCTTCCCTGAGACCAGAAGCAGGCATGGATTTCCGTTTAGAACAACGAAAATGTCCTATCACTGTGGGTTTGTTCAGTTTGATAATCGCCATATGAACACATCTGCGGATGTTTCAAAATTCCAAATTGTTCCAGTTCATGTTAAATTTTGCATTCTGCTTAAGCCGGTGCTAGGGGGCGTGAACGTTTGCTTGCACTTTACAGTACCGTCCATGAACAGGCTCAATCATACCGAGCTTGCAACATTTTCAATTTTGCCGTGTTTTCCTTAGGGATTCTTATTTTCTTTATTTTGACTGTATTCTCTGAAACTAGAAATGGTCATGTATTTCCGTTAGGAACTACGAAAAAGGCCTACCACCGTGGGTTTGGTCAGCTTGACTGTATTTCCTGAGGCTAGAACCGGGCATGTATCCGTTAGGAACTACGAAAAAAAAAAGACATTCAAGATTACTCTGATGCAGATTTTGATCGACTTTATGATCAGTGGGAGGTAATTTGACATATGTTTTTATTTTTTCCCGAGACGAGTTTCAAAACTAAAAAAGTTCAGACTTCTGTATTGATTTTCCCATAGACTTTATAAGAAATGACCACTAAACCAACCTTAAAATTGAGTACTCATGCTAAACATGTGAATTTTCTAGAAGAATGACAATAGTAATTGTCGTAAAATACAATGACGTACAACAGACTTCAATTTTATATCTTTGAAGTTGAAAAAGATATTTTTCTTAAGAAATTTGGAACAAACATTTCTAACATACAAGGATAAATGTTACATTAACATTGTTATATGGTAGATCATGGTTTATATGAGTAAAAAATATCACTCAGTACTAATTTGATACAGCGCTATATGGACTTTTCGATGTAATATGTGTATATTAAAATTTACACAGCGACATAATTAAGAGATTGAAAAAGGTTTCAGATTTTGGTTGGAAATAACTTTTTTCTTTCTTCTACTTTTTGTTTTGTGATGGTCCAACCTGACAGAATGTTTGTGTTCATATTTACAATATGATACTTTTAATTTACATTGGTTTCATTATATCACCTTTTGTAACAAAAAGAATCAACAAGCATTCATTTTAAAAGTCAGATATAGTATTTTTCAAAAATAAACAAAACAAAAAAACCAAAACTATAAAAAAATATAAAAAAGAAACAATTGAAAAACAACAACAAACAATTAGATTAATGATGAATATTTGAAGTACTAGATAAGGAATTCGGAATACTAACATACATATTCTATAACCCAACAAGATTTTTGCATGCTTTTGCACACATTACAAGATACTTTCAATAAAAATAGGTAGATGTTGAAAACAAAACAATTTTAGCGTCAGTTTCTACTTGAAAATAAAACAAAACAATCTAAACGTTAGTTACTACTTGAAAATGATTTTTAGTAGACATTCCCATGGTATGAATCAATATTATAACGATTAATTTGGCAATAATATAAATACTAGTATAAAATAATGTGCAAGGAAATCTATCCAAAACCCTCTACAAACTAACGTTATTTATGCATAACATTGCAATCGTTATGAAATGTCATCAGTAAAAAAAATGGTTTCTGCAAGCTTGTTAACATTCGGTAATACACCTCTTAGAAATAGACTGTACATTCATTCATTTTTGTATTGTCATGCGGACTTTATTTTAGTCCAATTCAATATCTATATACGAAATGTCCCTTTTTGGCTTTGAATTGTTTGGTGTTGCAGAGTGTTGCCCACTTTCGCTTTCATAATTGTCGATCTCTCTATTGATCATATCGGTTTCTCTAGTTGAGATATCCTTTGCACCTTGGTGAATTTGATGTGCTGCTCCGATCATTACGTTCTGTTGAAATTTTGGTTTAGCTGGATTGAGAAATCTTGTTAGGTTGCCATTCATTTGCATTTTCTTTCTATGTAAATCATCATCTGACACCCATGTCTTTGGTTGAACGCCGATTGATGAACTGAATGATCAATAATGCATTTTAATCTTGAATATTAAAATAGATAAATGGCAAATTATGATTAGTACAAATTCCACTGATTATTATAAAAAATAAAATTTATCCATGTAAATGTTTACCAAATGATGTGAAATTTCCTTCAAACTACAGTAGAATCCCTCCTTAAGACCACCCCGGAATTAAGACCACCCGCTATTAAGACCAGTTTTTATAAGAACGGAATTTTCTGTTCTTCATGTCAATGGTTACATGATCAAGAATTAAGACCACCTCGCTTATCCACTTTTAAGACCACCAGATTCAGTCCCAATTCTCTATTTTGTTCTTTATTTGACCCCACTATTGAGACCACAGATTTAAAGTCAACACCTACCTAGATCTTTAATTTGTTGTTATGTTGTTATTTTCTGCTTAAATGCTCTTAGGCATGACACTTCATTTCACAAGGTATCAAAAACACCTTTTATTATTGGGATATTGTATGAAATAAGGTGAGAAAGTAGATTTTAGAGTGGTTTAATGTTGATTTAAGCACACTGATTTTGCTATGAATTTATTAGTTATTTGATGGGTGTATTATGTACATCATATAATAATTTATATTGAAATCAGATCAAATAGAATTTTATAATAAATTTCTTCAGAAATGTTTTCTTCCCATCAGATGTAACATTACAACATACTTTAATATTTGCAGGTTAATATACATATTGTTTATTCACACAAAATGACTAAAATAGAACATGGTCGTAAAGTGTGTAAGCAATAAGAATACTCAAAATTAAGACCACCCCGCAATTAAGACCACTTTGGTCCAGGCCCGATGGTGGTCTTAATTGAGGGTTTTTACTGTAGTTGCGAACTTGTAAAATCACCGAAAACCATCGCTCTTAAAATTGATTATTTTAAGTATGAAAATTAAAACATTAAATCATGCACTTTCTTTCCTTTTTGACACATTAAAACAGAAGTCAAAATTTTCACTTTTGCAAAAAAGTTAATTTATACTTTTACATTTTTACATTTGCAGACTTTATTCTCTATCAAGATTTCCATTTTTGTATATATATTTAATTTTAAAAATTTACCTGTGTTTCTTTAAAACTTTGGATACAAACACATATATCAGCACACCTGCTACTACAACAATGATTGATGAGCCAATGACGATTCCTACAATAGCCCCTGTTCCTAATCCCGTACCTGAGTCTTCACAATCATCTACGAAATGAAATACATTAACGAAGACATATCAGCTTTGCTTATACCGATATAGTCCTTTAGCCTTTAAACATAAACTGTTGATTTATTGGTAAAACCTATTTATCTTTATTTGTTTTCATTCAAATATCTGCTTAAAAATAAATAAGCATTCTTATCTAGTTTTGAATTTGATGCAATTACAACAAAATTTGTAGGAAAGTAGAACAAGTAAAAAAATATTCAAATGATAAACATGACTTACACATCATTAGTATTGTAATTTCAAGTATTCACTTAAATTTTTCAGTTTAAAATGTGGCGGAAATATTGACTCAAATGCACATATACTTACATTTCGTCCAACCGTAAGGGTCGTTTGAAGGATCACAGGTAAAGCATGTATCATTGTCGAATACTTTGAAATTCTGAGCAATGCACGTAGCAGCGATGAAGCAAAAGCTATTCTATAAAAAGGGTTATTTAAGAATTATATATTTCTATTTAATAATATGTCGCTATCATGTCTATAGAAATAATCAACTCAAAGAAGGTATTTCTTATTCAAAAATACAACAAACAAATATTTCTTCTTCCATCAAATTTTTTTTATGTCTAAGTGCAAAGTGCGACTTAAAACCAAACCAAAACAATAGTATATTTTGTATAAGGAAATCAGGAGACGTTGTGTATGTATGTATATCTTTTAATACTTCACACTTATGTGTGTCTTTTAAGCCTATCACTTCAATACAGTTTCTTCACATACTACATCGCTTATTTTCAGATATAACATATATTTTCAAGACATAAATTATAGGTATTTAATGATTACCTTTAGCCTGAATGTAACTGCATCATTTATCTCAACATGTTCAAGACATATTATATCATAGATATATACAGGGTTGGCATCCCCATAATTTTCACCATCATTGCTGATAGAGAGCTCGTACATTATGACAGACAATTTGTCGGTATCGTGATTTAAATCGAAAGAGCTATTCATTGTCGCCGTTTGAACACAGCACTCGCCAGTAAAGATATCCTCGTAATAACCAAGACCTACTGATGTATTTCCTTCCATACGTGAACCATTGGAATATACCTAAGAAAAGCAGGAAGTAGGAGACAATATACAAACACGTATTTCAGTTATACAGTTTCTAATTTTATTTTTGTATGATTTTACCAATAGAGAAACGATATTTGAACAATAGGTTATTGTAAATAAATCAATCGACTAAAACAGTTTGATTCAAATTTTGTGTAATTTTCCAAGGATTTTTGTATTTTTGCCCCCCTTATTATTGTATTCCTTTGTTTTGTTTTCTTTTACCTGATGAAACAAATACAGTGATATATTTTTAAAACCCTTATATTGGGTGGTGTTGCACAAAAAACCATCAAATAATTTTTGTGTTATTTAAAACTGTAAGTGTCCTCACCCCTTATTGTAACACACCCCCCCCTTTCTATTCCCAACACAACGGGTGGAATTTGATGTCTATACTGCAATCAGGTCCTCGAAATATTCCATTGCATGTGCAAAGACCTTAATGTGACACAAAACAACCATTGATGTCAAAGTTCAATTATTGCTATATGCTCATTAATGTTTTATAAAATTTATTAATACAAATTTGTACATTATTCTTATCATTTTAGAAAATCTTTTACAAACAACCTTCTTTTTTATCAAAAAGAACATAAGAGTATTTAAAAATATTAACACACCTGTCCCAGCACAAATTCCGTTTCCACTGCAATTATTCATACAAATTTCATTGCGAAACGAGTTTACTTTATCTGTATTATTAGCGACATAAATTGGGCTCATTCTGAGAATTGTATCGGCAGCATTGTTTAGAATTGTCACGTGTGCATCAATCCAAGCTGTGTCGTTTCCTTGCTAAAAGCAGGTTAGTGAAGAAAATTTGTAATTTTTTAAAAGTTTGATAAAATTTTTGGGTTCCATCGCTTTTTGCACAACTTTTATTGACCCCATTAAGCCCACATATAAGCAGCTTGATGAATCAGTTAAAAAAGAAAACAGTATGAAAATTTCAGTAATCGTTTAGTTTTTTTTTTGATAGTTTTTTTAAAAATAATTAAAAACCCCCCCAAAACACGATAGAAAACAAATTAAAATTGCGCAGTCAAAGAACCAAATAATGAAAAACAAAAACTATACAATATTTCAAATTGATATAGCGCAGATACATGTACGGAAAGTACCACGTACATGATACAATGAAAAAACTTAACACATTAAGCACAGATGCAATTGTCAAACGATTTGTTTATGATGAAAGTATTTGAGGAATTGTTAATGAAAATTGTATGATTATAAAATGACATTCATTGAGGCCTTTGTCAATTGTACCTTTTTCCTATTCAGAATGCGAAGCAGTACGGTTTTTTAATCATTATTTCAATTTGACAGGAAGAACGTTGTTTTTATTAATTCTGAAATTTTCACAAAAGGATATTAAGTTTGATTTACGTACTTTTGTTTGCTGGTTTAGTGCCATATATCCTATAAAGCAATTAACGATCATGAACGGTTTAATAAAGTGTCTTGATTTCAACATATTTTATCTAAGTCAATATCTGCTCGACTCATGGTCAATGTAACTCATGTTGACCGTCAATTGCATAATGGGGAAATTACAAGTAATATAGTAATCACCGTCAAGTCATAAACACACTGTTCTACGACAACATCTGGGTCTTCCCCTGCGAGATGATCTGGAAATTCTTGGACTGCTGGTGTTGTATAGATTGAATGATTACATAGCTGAAATGCCTCGTCCTCAGTAAAACTGTTTGTGGCTCTCTAGAAAGATATAGAGAATACAAATGTGAAAGCTATTCTATAGCTTCAAAGTAAAATGGCATCATCGTTTTAACGTCAGTTCAACTCAATCATCTATGCAGTTATGTAATTCAGTTAAAGAGATTTAACGCCCACTTCACACGATATAAGAATTTGATTGAAACTGAGTAGAATAAACATCATATATTACATGTTTCGATGGAAGGCTCATTTACAATACTAACAACAGCATCGTCTGTGACAACTGTATCAAAAATCCAGTTAATGTTGAATTTTGTGGATAGAAGCTAAAACGCATGATTTAAAATATAGAGTCAAAGATAATTAATTGATAAAGATTGACTTTAAAGATCCTGTATCACAATTTTTTTAAGGTTTTAAATCACAATTAAGATTTATCAATATTGTAGGTTCCAAAAGGCATTATTTATAAGGATATTACCGAATTTAACATATCATGTAAATAAAAGGAGGTAAGTAGAAATTTATTTTCTATATGGTTTAAGTCAAATTTTACAATAAGAAATAATGCATATATTTTAATGATTACATATAATATGCACAAATATTTGCAGTACATATCTTACACATTCTTGCATTATTATGTACATATATATAATTTCACTTCCACTTTGATCAAAACATACAGGATCTACACATATACTACACTAAAAATCAATACCTTTTTACGCGACAACAAATGTTGATAATGAGTACTCATTTTCATTTCTGAGTGTTCGGGAACTGATCGTCTTTTCCTTCTGCTGATCTTACATTTTCTGCTTGTTATTGAATTTGCTCGTGTACATGTCTGGTCAACATTATTTACATTCCAGTGATCAAGTTTACGTTTTGTGTTTATAAACAGATTTTCTTCATCAGTCAATCTGTAATACAAATGATATAATCCGTACCAAGATGCCAAAACTATTCAACTATTCAACTCCTGTTCTCCAGTATTAAATGAAATAAAGAATTGATCAATCGCACACTAATTTGATCCGCATCATTGCTTAGGCTCATTTCACAATTCATTGTAGATGTTAAAATGAAATACACTTTACATGAACGAAGACTAGACTACACAATTTGCTATCAATACTATTCCATGACATAATGTTGGGTTAGTACATTATGCTCATAAAATCAAATTGTGTATTCTAGATCAAGTTTAATTAACGACAATTAAAATATGGATTTGCAAGTTATTAAATAACACCTCAACATTTGCCAAAATTGAATACTTATAATGATGTCACAGGTCAAGTATACATTGCCCGTAATGTCAAGTGCTGTATGTTTTTTAAGAGTAATGTTTTATTGTCATTGTTCCTTTTTGTTTCCGTAGTTTTTAATTTAATTCTTACACTCATAGCTCATATCTCACATCCAAAAGCCGTCACCTATACATAACAGTACTTAACAACCTCTTCGATTATCTGTTCCTGCTAATTTTTCAATTTCCCAGCTAATCTGCAATACGCATGCGCACTTAAATTTTGAAATTGTTGGCGCAAGCCTAGGTTGTGTTGGAGTGAAGAACATATATTTTGAGTAGCTCAAACATATCTTTTTACAGACCCCTTCACTACAGATCCAGAACTCACAGTAGAGTCGACGAAACCCTTTTGTTGACAATGACAAAAACTATTATCAATCATGCAAACAAAAAAGGTCTCGCTAAATAGATATATATCAAGTTTGTTAATAACTTGATTTGTAGGAGAAACATGCCTTGTTTAAAAGCAATTAACCTAAAATATTTTGTTATTTCCTTATGTTTTACAAAAATAAATGTCACAAAAATATGTAAAAACTATAAATAAGTGAAAGTTTTTTAAATAAATTGGGTCATAACACAACCACGAACCTCCAGCTATCAGCAAATTTATAACTTCTGTTGTTATCATCAGAAATAGTTCCGTCTCTATGTTCTAGATCATTAGATCTATCCCCGTCAAAGTTTCCACAAAGTCCAGCCACATTTCCAAAATCTTTGGCAGACATGTACACATCTATGTTCATTACGTTACCCCATAAAAGTATTTCAATCATTGTACCAATTGGTGTTCGAACCTTAAACAAATTTGGTATTCATATTTTTATCGAAATTATTTGTGATGCTATACGCATTTATAATAATCCTTTTTCATTATAATAAGTACAAATTCATCATTATAAATTATCATGCTTTGTTTATTCTTAGTCAGTTAAAACAACAAGCTTTATTCAAAGCACGTATGAGACAAAGAAATGTATACCATATATCTGTAATCGTTGATATGTTCAATATCAATAAGTCCACCATCTCCGCATGAAAGATCAAACTTGAAAGGTTTATCATGACATCTGTTGATGACAAAATGATCGACACCAACAGCTATTGCTATTCCACAGGCACATACGGGACCACGCCTGTATCTAGGTCTGCAAAATCTTGCAGATGTTTGTACCTGTATGGGTTAATTGAGATAAAGGTGGATAAAGGTATACAGTAAGACATTTTATTCTTTTTACAACTATCTGGTCGAAAGTAAAACGATATGTTGGCTTAACAGCTTTTAACGAATAAAATTTCAAGACATAAATGTGATAAACTTAAGTTTAAACATATTCATTTTTAAAAACAGTGTGTGATTTAAGCTGAATTAAGATGGCAAAAACATCAAATATTCCTTAAACAAATCAAAATGATATTTGTTTTGGAAACATTGTTGTGATCGCGATAAGACTGCAAAGTCACAGTTTTCTTACATAAGGGAGACGCATTTATTATTATTTAATTGTTTCTGTACAACCGACACAAAAAGTGTATATATCAACTTCGTTATTTGAAAAAAAAACTAGAAATGTGTCGGATGCCCCAGCATACGGCCAAATTTGCAGATGTTATAATATTTAGTTCCAAATTTGTTTGCACAAATTATTTTTTTCATTTTAAGTTCAAAGCTCTTAAAACTAAACAATGTTTACACAAACCATTTTTAAACAAAGTTCAAGGCACTGAAACTATTCAGTGTTAACCTTTTGTAAATTGCATATTGCATATTTCTAGCCAAATTAATGGCTACATACATTTCCACAAAAGTATGAGTGCTGAAACTGAAAATTCAAAATTTTCCCAACATTCAAGGGAGATAACTTTGTCCACAATCATTGAACCACGACCAAATTCAAACTTGAACTGCTTATTCCTAAGATGTATCTATATGTCAAATTTGACTTGAATGTGTACAACCATTGAGGAGATAATGAACTGAAACTTAAGA